CGTGTCCCCACACCGCCCCGCCGTGATTCCTGCTCCTCGAGTTCGGACTCTGTCGGTTCAGCTCAGGCGGTCCGTCGTCCGATTTAAACCCATTCGGTCCACCGAGTCCGTTAGGCAGCCTGCTGCTGTGCCCGCTGTAGTCAAACCGAGCCCGGCTGTCTGCCCCGAGCGTGTACCGGTCCAAGCCAGGCTGCTGAGACTTCCCCTGCCCGTCAGCCTGTTGGTGGTGGGTGACCCCACCGGCTCCTTCCCGGTCAGTAATAGCGCCTGGCTCTTCGCCACCGTGGGCTGCTGCTGCAGCGGGGGCGGCGGACCGCCGGCGGGGGATCTGCTCTCCTGGAAGCCGTGTGCCCGCTTCAGGTGGCGAGCAGTTTCGATGACGAACTCGATCCGGTCCGCGCCCTCGTAGTTGACGCAGCCCCGGCACACGGGCTCGGTGAAGTCCCAGATCATGGCCCAGGGCATGCGGGGCAGGTCACACAGATAACATGACTGTCTGCGGGACGAGGAGACCTGCGGGGAGGACATCTTCCCTCCCGGTCTCCTCTGCGGAGCTGCTCACACCAGCTCTGTTCGTCCGGTAGAATTATCCCCAGAGAGGAGGGCGCACAGACGGAGTGCAGCGACTCCTGCTCTCAGGTTATTGTTCCCGCTCCTCCTCCTCCTCCTGCTGCTGCTGCTGCTGCTGCTGGAGCTCCGCGCTGTGCTGCAGAGACCGAGGAGGTGGTGCTCTGCGCTTTCTCCTTGCACGCCTCAGTGCCAGACCAGCGGAGGAATTTGGATCCCCCCCCACCCCCCCCGGAATGCCACCTGGTGGAGTAAGTGACGTCACTGCCTCCGCTAACGCAGCTCCTCCGAGCCTGAGATAACACTTGTCCTCCCCCTTCCGTCCTCCCCCAGTCTGACCATTACTGCTGCAGGCCCCACCCTGAACATCGACGTGAAGAGGAAAATAAAAACCAAAAGTACTATAAGCTCCATTTCTGCCCCGAAACCACCGCAGACCGGCCCCCTAGCAGTGCAGTCAGGACCAAAACAATGCTGGGTTGTTGCAGACCAGGGTCTGGATCAGGGTTCACAAGGCGGATTTCCAGACAAAAACCTCAGACAGAAAAGGAAAAACTGCGTCCGCCTCCACAGACTGAACGCTCACCTGCTGGACTCTACTCTGATTTACAGTGACATGACAGACACTGTTCATGTGCAGCTTTCACACACTGCCTCACGGAGGTGCAGAGTACATAAACACATGTTCCACCTCCACATCCTGTGACTCCATGTCAGAGACAGACCGTGTACTTTTTACTACACTACATGTACCTGATAACTTCAGGCCCAGAACCAGATGAATCAAACCAAACCCAGTAGAACCATCAGACTCTATTGATCCCAGTAGGAAATCCACCAGCTACCCAGCAGGATGGAAAGTACTTCCCAGTATAAGTATATAAGGTAGTTACCATCAGCTCCACCTTTACCAGCTGCAGCATTAAAGTGATGGACACAGTAATTAGTCACTATGATCCAGTATCAGAGACGTTACTGGGACACGGGCCGTTCTGCAGGACGAGTACTGGTACTGCTGGTACTTCAGGTAGATTTTTATGCCAGTACATTTGTACTTTCACTTCAGTAACATGTCGGCTGCAGGACTTTTACATGTATCAGTATGTTTACACTGTGATGTGGCTACTTTTACGTCCGTATAGGACCCGAGCGCTTCTCCCACAGCCGCTGTCTCGTGCATCTGCATTTGAAAGTTTTTAACCTGTGAATTTGATATTTTCTGTGTTTTTCTGGTGATCAATTCATCGACTGATCGTTGCAGCTCTAAAATCCATCCATCTGCCTGTGGGTTGAATTCTCCAAATCACGACATGTACAAGTATTTCACCCAGTGGAACCATCCGAGGGTCAGTGACGAGCTGAAACAACCAAGCAAAGTGACGCCAGCCGTTTCATCCACCTGCTTCAGTTTGTGCATACGACCGGAAATAAAAAAAAAAGGTTGTACACTCAGCTGAGTGGAAAGTTAGGGTATCAATAAAACCTAACTGTCACAGTGCAGTGAACCGACACTGACGTCGTGTGTGGGCCGATGAGGAGGCTGTGACCTTCCTCATATGAAGCTTCAAATCTCCTCCAGGTTTTCCACTGTCTGAGCTCCAACTCCAGCTCCGTGAGTCACCTCATCTTGTCCTGCAGCGACCAGAGAAGGGGCTCAACCTGCTGTTTATCTCTGTCAGTCTGCTCACGTTCATGTGACGCCACTGAACAAAAATGTTCATTAAGTCATTTTTGGTTTTGATTTTCTCTACATTCAGCTGGAGTCTGCACCACAAGTGGATGGAAACCCTGTCAATGGCATGTCTGATAACCTCAGAGCAGATTAAGGTGAAATCTAAAAGGTGGACTGTACGTGAAGAGAACTGTGTGTATGTGTTGCCAGGCAGGTTTCTCCTCTTTCTCTCTCTCTCTCTCTGAGCACAGCCCTGCCGTTTCCTCCTCTTTGTGTGTCTGTGCTTAGTCTACTTTCTATTTGTGGCATCAGTTGAAGCATGTTCCTCAGGTTTTCACCACATTTCAAACACAAAAGAGGATCACTGACAGAAAATCAACGTGCCCCTGATCTCTGCAGGTTCCTGCTCTTCCACTGTGACGATTGTGTTTCTCTGTGCCTCCCGTCACAATAAAATCAACCTGCTTGTGACAAAATATTCAAGAACTGAGGGAAACTATAAACCACTTTGACATTTCATGCACAAAATAATTACAGGAGGAAATATTCACCAGCTGGTTTGTAGAAAATTATGAGGAGGGTTTTCAGAAAATTAGCTGCAAAACCCAGCGTCTGTGTTACCAGATTTTCAATAGCATTGAAGAGTCTGAAACCTTCTCCAGGAAACGCACACAGCCTGGTGTTTGTGCTGAGCTATGTGTTGCAACGGGTCCTTCGTGTTGCTGAAAACCAACGAATGAAAATGGTTTGTAATATACATGAATATATGAACGACAGCTTTGATTTAACTGGGAGAAAACGTGAGGTCATGACTCATCATCTGCTAAATAAATGTAAACCATCGGTGTTTTACACTTCAGTGTTAAACAATAAAATACAACATGAACCTGCACAGCCCCCCCCAACCACACACACAGGTGAGCTCCAGTGTGCCAATGACGGATATCATCTGTGTTGCTATGGAAACACGCAGTGAAGAGGAGGAAGCTGTGGAATGTGTGATGAGCTGCAGCCGTGTTCGTCCTGACTCTCGCTCTCTCTGACTGATTATGCAAATTGAGTATGCTACGTGCACACACACAGTCAGATTTCAGGTGGAAACCCGCAGCAGTGTTCACATCGGACACACCAACTGTTTCAGATGAGCTCAGTCAAATCTGTAGGCCACTGATTCAGACAGGTATAAGTCAGCTGAGGAGACCCTGACTGTCGCTGGTCTTTCCAGGATTTGTGTGACAGTTGGAAACCAACCACTGACACTGTGCTCTTACCGCTTTGTGTCGGAGTGATGTGCAGGATCACGGCTGAAAGGGTGGAGGAGCTGTGAAGTGCAGCTACAGCTGAACGATTAACTGATTATTGGATCGACATATAATGACTCAAAATATTCTGGACGGCTAAAAAAAAAAATCTTTTTGGCCATTTTCAAGCAAAAATTTCAGAATTAAAAAAAAAATCTGACCACATCATCTGAAGCTTTGGGAAGTGACACCAGACACCCTTCACTGGTGTCTCACATTTTAAACACAAAAGGTTCACGTCGCCAAGTGCTGCTCAGGGGGATTTGTTGGGCTTTCCCTCTGTAATAATAGTGATAACAGTAAGGACCTTAGTTTGTAAAGTGTCCTGAGATGACTTTTGTTGTGATTTGGTGCTATACAAATAAAACTGAAAAGAAATTGATACTAGTACTTTGCTTAAGTACCACACTTCTTCCTCCTCCACTGTGCAAACCTGAGACTCCACCTGACCCCTTTAGTCTGACTTGCACTTGTCCGACACTGATGACAACACAACCTGCACAAAGTCTGATTATCCACAGCTTACCTCTCATTGGCTGCAACTCTTGAGCAGACATATAAAGTGTTAACTGGAAAACACTGCACATAAAGTGGTGCATCCTAACACACCTGTGTGTAAAGTGGCAGCAGCTCAGTCTGCAGGGTCCAGGCGCTGGTTAACAAAACTGTCACGCTCAAACACACAGGAACACCCTCTCCCTCCCATCCCCTTCACCTGGTTTGCTCTGGCTGTCGGTCACAATGGGGTGCTGCCATGGCAACCGGGCCAGTCTCCATGGCAGCAGAGGCTCTGGTTGCCGAGTAGCTTTGCCGCTCACTGCCAAGAACATCTGCTGAAAACAGAGCAGAAGTTCTCAGTGTCCGGTAGAAGACAGTAAAGACAGATGCAGCCCAGTCACAAGGATATGTTCAACACAGTGGAGGGGATGAAGGCCTCTGGGCACAGGCAGCACCCTGTGTCTTTGTCCTGGTGGCACCATCCCATATTCCCTATAAAGACAAAGCCCTTAGGGCTGCTCAGTCCTTCCTGCTCTCATGACACACAAACACCAAGAACTAGCAGAAACCTGTCACTACCGCCATGACCCAATGTAATGTTTCATGTTCGTGGTCCCTGACAAACCAACATAATAAACTAAAGAACAAGTCACCCATTGAAATGTTAAAATGCTTCAACTTTGCACTCAACCACATGACAAGTAGGGGTGTGACAATACACTTAGCTCACAAGAACACGACAATATTTTAACACAGTTTTTCAGGAATCTTCAATCATGAAATATATGCCTGGAAAAAATAGTCCTTTATTCAAATGAAAGTTCCCAAATGCAAAAGAGTGCAGGTGCATTTTGAAGTGTTTTAACTAGTCATCTTATCCTGAATGTCCCATATGGCACAACATCTTGTCACACCCTAATGAGAAGCTTCAGTTAAAATAAGATAAACACAGAATCTGATTCAGTGTGACCCTGATGTGACTCTACCGCAACATCAACACACAGACACACACATGCTGCAGAGCAGCAGCCGTGAAGCTATAAATAACCTGCTGCTACATACACCCCGGTTTCCATGACAACCCCATCTCCTCCTGCAGAAACACACTAACACACTGATCTGGGGAGGTGGTCTGTTCCCATGGTAACAACCTCCAAGCATCAGAGAGACTCTGCTGCCACCTGCTGGTCACGAGTGGCAAGTAAAAGGAAATTTATCTGTTAAATGTGATACTGTGTCACTGTGTCCAGCCAAAGCAGCAAGATGTCCAAGTGCAGAAGCTGGAAATGTCTCCCAGCAGTGTGTGCACAGGCCAGCTCCTTCTCAGGCGTGTCGGCCAAAGATAAAACTGTGTGAAGACCTGCTCTGACTGAACAATGCTTAAAAAAAAAACACACACACACACAACACAAAATTGGCGTGTCTCAGAATCAACATGAAACCTGCAACAAACATCTGGTGACCTACAGGGAGCTCAGGTCGTTTCTGTGTGTTTACCTTCTGTGTCCAGGTGTGTGACCTGCAGACGGGCTGGCTGATCAGAGGCTGTGAGGCCAGAGGTTGTGGAGGTCACAGAGGTGTGGCCTGTCACTATCCTGAGGGCTGACTCCAGCAGCTGGCTCTGTTTGGAGGAGACAAGAGCCAATGAGCAACAAGAGAGAAGAGTGATAAGTCAGCAGAGCCTGAACAGGTGAGTGTATTTACCTGCAGCTGCAGCTGTTGGCTGTGCAGTGTCTCCAGGTGCCGCAGCGTCTGCTGGCTCAGGCTTTGCCCCCTGTCTCCACCCTCCCTGACACGAGAGCATAGTGAGGTCACAGCGTCGCCATATTGCAGCAGGGTGAAGTTAAAACAGTCAAAACCAGCAGCGTTTTTCAAGAGAACCCAGCTGCACAATCAGAGGGCAGACTCTCAACAGGAAGTAGTCAGCATTAGCCGGGAGCTGTCCACCTCAACAGGGTTAGGTTTCAGGCTAAGTTAACTCTAACCCAACTTTGGGAAAAAACTGACAACATCCAGCTGAGGCTGACGTAGTGTTGTGTGTAGGTCCCTCATGTTGCTGCCTCTGAATGTTGTAATGAAAAAATGTCAAACCCACTAGAAATGAATATGCTGAACTCAGCTTTGGGAAAACTGGAGTTTTTAAATATTTTAAAGTTTAATGGAGAAAATTATTGACCAATGAATTGATAGCAAAGCACTCATCAGCTGCAGTATCATGTACCAACACAGAGTGAAACCCATATTCAGACTGTTGTGTCTTCTGACGACAACCCTTAAACTTTAATGTCCTTAGAAGTGTTGAAGTACAAAGGTGTCTATACCTGTTGGCCTGCAGGAGCTGGTTGACGCCGTCGATCAGCTGAGACACTCGGGCCTCCATGTCTGACTGAACCTGCACACACACACACAAACACACACACACACACACACACACACACACACACACACACACACACACACACACACACACACACACACAATACAATAGTGACAAAGGGAAGGTTTAATGCAATGCCAAACGATTAAGAAACACAAACTAAAATCATGTGTGAATAGTAGTAGCAGCCCTGTCATTAGTCTGAATGAGGACAGTCTGCAGAGCGCGGCGTCAACACAAACAGCAGAAAACAATCACAGACCTCCTACTGTTTACCTCACCATTGTCACGAGAACTTTCCTGTGTCTCAGTGAGACTGTTAGTCTGAACCTGACACACACACACACACACACGATATATAATAACAGTAAGGCCTAGACCAGAGTCGAACAGTTATGATGTCACATAGCAACCTGCTTCCTTGTTTTAACACGGTTGCGTGTTCTCCTGTGGACCATGCTCGAGTACACATGAATCTTCAAACCGACTCAGTCACAGTGCCCGAGTTCGGTACGCTTTTCTTCACACTGATCAAAATGAACCAGACTTTAGGGTCAAGTGCACTCGGATCTGGGCCCAGGTCCCTAATGTCAAACCACCCTTTGTTGTGATTGGGCACTATACAATTAAAACTGAACTCTTGCTATGCACAGAGGGAGTCGTATTCTGCACAGACTAAACCACACCGAGAAGCACCAGCTGTAAAAGTTCTCTACTAACCTGTACTCCTGTTAGTACCTTGATGAGAGGAGCTGCAGTCACAGCTGCAACTGCAGCCACTGAGTCGTTGTTGTTGTCTCCATGGCAACCAGGGGACAGACCCACCTCCTGGACCCCCACTATACCTAGTGCATCCTGGGAACTGGTCCTCAGACCAGGAGTCTCCTGTAGGTTCCTCTGAAGCAGCCCTGGGTCTAACAGCTGCACTTTAACCTCCCTCCTGAGGGGGGCACTGTGGGAGCTGACAGAACAATACAGAACAGGTCATGTGGTGCACACAGGTGCTCAGCTTTATCTGCACCTTGACAGGAGCAAAGAAAAAAAAACCACAGGGGTCGAACTTCATACAAAAGTGAAAACCGAGTAGTGGAGTTGGAGCTGCATCAGGGGATCCAGAGTTCAGAAATGTTAAATGTACCTTTAACTAAAATAGTTTTCACCTGACACCAGGTAACAATGTAGCCAAAATAAAGATTCATTGAATCTCATTCTTCATTTACATCACACCATGAGTGTTATGACAGTGTTTGGACGTTCATCATCTCTTCAGTTTATCATCAGCATCACTGTCTAACAACAAATGTCAAAACCACATCATTAAATATTTTACAGCACATATAAGTATAAATATAACCAAATGCCAAACCTGTATTCTCCTGATTAAAAACGCACCAAATTCCATCGACTTTTCCCCTAAATAAATGTCTCACCGTTGTTTCAGAGCAGCGAGTACAGCACCTCGACCTCCGGCAGAAAAACGTGATGTCAGCAGGTCGTTACCTGAGAGTGATGATGTAAGCAGAGGCGGAGTCAATTCACCTGTCTGATATTTAAGTTGATTTCAGAGTCCACACCCTCAACCACCTCTGAGAGACCACACACAAACACATTTTATGTTTTCATGATTTTAGTTGGATGATTTCAGGGTCAGCTGCAACAAAACATGCCAGACTATGTTCCAGGAAATGAAATAGTGGCATTTAAAAAAAACGATCAGTGCTTCAATAACCTAGTGATCATTGATTAATTGATGAATCTGGTTCTCTCACCAGGGTGTTGCTCCATGTGTGCCCCAGCTGGGAGCTTCCTGTTTGGGCTTGACTGTGCTGCTGTAAGCTGAAGGACGAAAACACACAAACACATCACATAAATATCGTGTCTGAAAGAAGGTCTTCATATGTTCCACCTGGTCTGTTGCTGAAACATAAGAACAATGTTTACTCATTAAATCTGATTGTAACCACCTGAGGAACAAAAGATTTTTAGATCTGGTGACAATGAAAGAAGCAGCTACAGCTGTTTCAACAGCTGGAGAGCGGACTCCACTGACATCCTCCCTGAACACTTCAGTCAGATTCTTCCTGAGCTTCAGTCAATTAGCTTAAGTTTTAGAAAACGTGACAGACATGTCTCTGGGAGGAATGATCCTGTTCATAAAGCTACAACCCCAAATCAGAAAGAGTTAGGTGGCAAGTAAAATCAAAATTAGAACAGTTAACAGTGAAGTGTAAACCATCTGTGTCCTGTATCACACTGAAAACAATACAGCAGCACATTATTTGATGTGACACCTCAGTTTTAATCTTTGACACTGTTGACACAGAGCTTCCTTTTGGCACAATATAGTTTTAAGCAACATTTCTGGACATAACTACGTATTGTAGTGGCTGACACAGGTGAGCCAACGTCATCCTGAGCCCATGTGGTTATATCGCTGATAGAAGAGTGATGATTCTTGATGCGGTGCCGTCTGAGGGATCGGAGAGCTCGGTCATCCAGCTCAGGCTCGGCCCTTTACACACTGAAATCCCTCCAGACTCCTTGAATCTTTTAATGGTGTTCTGTACCGTACAAAGTGACGGATCCAAATCCCTCCTATCTTTCTTTGAGGAACGTTGTTTTTAAACATTTCAGTGATTCTGTCACAGATATGTTGGCCAACTGGCGGTCCTCGGCCTATCTTTGCTCCTAAAGGCCTTTCCTGGACGCCACTGTTGTACCAGGTCATGATGCAGTCACCTGCTGACATCACCTGGTTCACATGGAGTCATTTCATTGTTTTACCTCATTACTGGTCCTGAAATGCAGCATCAGGATTGAAGTGAGAGTTTATTATGAACAAAGAATAAAGCTGATGAGGTGTCACACCAAATAATGTGCTGCTGTATTGTTTTCAATGTAGCACAGGACACAGATGATTTACACATCACATCGCTGTTTTAATTTTACACACGTCCCAACTTTATCTGATATGGGGTTGTACATGCTGCTGGACTTTTTGGAAGACCCAGGCCTGGCATCAGTGACAAATTCAACTGAGGGAATAGGGGAAGCAGACTCACGCTCGCTGTGGGCTGTCGGTTCTCTTTGCTCGGTTTCTTCAGCATCCACCTGATTCCTGCTTAATAAACACAAAGAGACTCACCAAGGAGCCAAACACAGCAGGCATGAGTTCTGTGATTTCACAAACTTGAAACTGTGTCTTAAACGAATTGTTAATCAGGTGCAGGTTTGTATAAATGTAATTAGGTTTCTGTCTAGACCTGGTCTATGGCTGTGTGGACGCAGAAGAAGTCAAATCATCTTTTCATAAATATAATAAAAGTTACACAAATCTGAAAGTTTTTTTCAAACCGCATCCGGTTATACCATCTAAACAATCTGGCCGGGAGCAGGTGGAGCGGGTACAAACTGGGAGAACTGGGGGTTCTAAAGTCCTGGTCACATCGGTCTCTTTTACTTAGATTTAGTCTGGAGCTACCGGAGCTCTCACCGGGCTGGCAGTCTGCTGCTATCTGCGTAGGAGGACCGGTGTCCGGTTTCTGTCTGGGCTTCGGCCGCCGCTGCTCCTCGGACACGCTGGACTGGACGGGCTGAGGGTCCCGAAGCCTCTGGACAGTTATCTGGACCGTTCCGTGTCTCGGTGCAGCTTCATGTCTACGGTCCGAGAGGAGAACACGGGTGGAGCGGATTAAAACGTCCCCGGTGTTCGGGCTGCTTGAGGACTGATCCGGACTGACTCCACCAAACATATCCCAGATAGACTACGAGGCAACGGTGGGAGAAGAAAACATCCTACCGGTTAACGCCATTTTATTTCAGCCCTAACCAGCTGAGCGTTAGCATGCAGGCTAACAGCAGCTAGCCACTTTCAAACTTCCCGCTCCGGCGTAAAACGGTAACAAACAACAGCCGGACGTTAAAACTCTGTGAATGACAGGAGTCACTGCTGTAAGCTGAAGTTTACAAAGTTAAACACCTATATCAACAAGAGACGTCAGGAATATAAAAAGAAACTAAAAGCGTAAACGACACAAATCTAGAAACAGCGCCTGTTACTAACAACAAAAACAGCACATCCTGGTTCTGTCTTCTTCTTCTTCTTCTTCTTCTTCACTGGTGTTTTACGGCAATTGGCATCCTGGTGTTGCATTATTGCCATCTTGTGTTCGTAGTCTGCGTCACCGTTCCGTTATCCTAAATCCATGAGTCCTGTTACCCTCAAGAAATCTATTAACACTCTTCTCCTTCTTCCACACTTTTCGAATTCCGCTATACTTTTAAAACATATATCTACTAACCCCAATTCTGGAAACGGAGGAAACATATCTTCCCTTTCCCCCGAATACCTCCTGCATGAAATGATGACATGATTTATTGTTTCTGCTTCTTGACAAAGATCACAACAGCCTGTGGGGTGTCTTCCTATAACAAACGGTTACTGTCCAGTTCAGATTCTACTGATTACTACTTGATCGGCCCTCACCGTGCCTCTGTCGCCCGTTACTCCCACCGTATTCTGTATTCTATATAGATGCCTTGACTTAATTTCACAATCCCACCTCTGTTGCCATTCTTGAGTAATTTTCCACAATACTAAACATTTACATGTTAATGCTGCCTTCAATATCCATTTTTTATGTTGCTTGTCTATTTAGTTTGTGTGCCTTCTCATTTCCCAGTAACCCCACATGTGCTGGAACCCACAGGAAGACAATGACTTCCTTAACTTGATTAATACTTGAGTATATACTCATTGTTTTGTACAGAAGATCCTGATGACTCCTACTCAGTCCTGTGAGTTTTGTGACAAGTCACAAGCTGAATGGGACTAGTTATTTCCAGCTATATGCCCCTGGCCTCATCTTCTGAAAGGCCAGGATTTAACAGTTCGGCTCCAGAGGTCTTCATGAGCATCATCATACCTGTAAGGCCTTGTTTTCCGAGCTGCACACATATTTAACAACCTTGGTTGACTTCAGAGCTTGTATGACACCAGATCACAGGAGAGACTGGCTTTAAAGGTTTATCACACCAACTGGGACAGGCTGGTTTCCAGTAACACCTCACTACTGGACGGAGCTTGAAGGCAGAAACGTTCTTCTGAGAGACTCTAAGCCTTTACTATTCTAATAATATTTGTAACTTTTTATTTGTGTCTTAGTGTTTCTATAATTTGCTGTCGGGTCTCTTTGCAAAATAGATCTTGATCTCAATGAGGTTTCCTGATTAAATGAAGCTCAAACCAACCAAGTAACTACCTGCTCCCAGGACACTGTCACTTGGCTCTGATAAGAATCTTGAGAAGACGGATATAAAGAAATAAACGAGGACAACACAGCTGATTAAAGAGAAGTTAATAAAATACGACTTCATTAATCCCAGAGAAGGATATCAGCGTTACAGCAGCAATAAGAGAAGCAAGTTAAAGATCAAGGAAAAGATGAATAAAAATATATTAACTATAAACTGTTTATACATATATACACACAGTATTTTACATCACGTTCAGTAGTGCAAGTTTAGCAGCTGTAAAACATGAAACTTATGCTGACACTATAAATATAATAAAAACATCATGTAACTACTAGTAGATCGTAGGAACTATGTTGTTACACACTTGTAGCACACCGGACAGTTTCTTCTGTAGCACACCGGACAGTTTCTTCTGTAGCACACCGACTTTTTATTTCAGAGGTCGAACTTTAGTCACACTCGAATCTTTTGTATTTAGTTGAATCTGAATCACGACAGTTATATTTAACATCTTAAAAATTACATTTGAAATCGGTTCTTGTTGATGTTTGAATTAAAAATCTAGGGCGTTTGAATCCGGTTCCTCTCTGCGCTCACGTGTCCTTCGGTCCGCTGAGGACGGTGTTCACATCACGCACGGAGCTCAGGTAAAGATTTACAGACATTTAGCTTGTGACTGATAGCTCAACGCACAGCAGCTGTTCACGAGTCCGGCTTAGAAAACCCGGTATTTAGTCCCCGGAGGTCGGAAACGTGAAGCGAACTGTTAGCCGACCGATCCGGCGGAAACGGGAGAGACACCGGTTGGACTCGGTGGGTTTTGTATTCATTAATATAGCTGAGAGAGTGACGGCCGGTTTGGTGTCACTGCAGCCGACTGAACAGTCCGAGCTCTGTAGGACCAGATTACATCTCAGGAATCATCAAAACTGTGAAACACGGTCTCAGCTGAAGACAGTGGCACCGATTTGAATGAGAACTATAGACTTTAAAAACGCCAGAGTCTCATTAGCAGATACCTCTGTGAAAAGAGAGGGAACGGGAAAGTGTCACATTCTTAACGGAGTCTTGTTCGGTAGCTGACGTGAGCTGTTTGTTCTTCACAGACCGAGTCATGGCGCTGCAGGTGTCCGAGTCCGACCAGATCAAACAGGTACGAGTCGTGTGGAAATCTTGTGTCGGGACCAAACCTCATGGATCACCTATATAAAGAACAATAATTATTGATCACCAGCTTATAGCCTTTAAAATGGCACTTGATACGTTGTACATGTCCATTCAAATTGCACAAACTGAACACCAGGACCACACCTGTATTAAAGGTCAGGTGACATCTCTGTTCCCTCTCACCTGTCCTGGCTTTTACTCTGTGTTTTCCTGTTTCAGTTTAAGGAGTTTCTGGGGACATACAACAAGGTGACAGAGAACTGCTTCATGGACTGCGTCAAAGATTTCACCACCAGAGACGTGAAGCCAGAGGAGGTAAAACACTGTAACATCTGCTAAGTGAGTTATGTTGTCTTAGTCCAAACCCTGGTGAGATGAAGTCTCCTGGCAGGTGTGTTCAGGAACACTCAGACATCTGAAGTCTGTTGTGAGATAATCAGTGAACATGGACAAAGGACAAAGCACCCTGTCTGACAGCTCAGCAGCCCGTGTCGGGCCTCACTGTGGGGTGTTGAGCTGTCACAGGAAGAGCAGCCATGTGGATGTGACTGGGTGGAAGCAGTTTGCTGCTGCAGCACAGTGATGGCAGACAACAAACCCGTTCCTTCAGGATCAGACTGCCGCTGAGCTCTGAGATGAAGACTGTAGACACTGACTGGTTGGTGGGGATGAGGGGCGATGTTGAGAAAAGGTTTCACCCAGTGAGCTGATGTGATGTCACATCCTCTCTTGGCTGTCTGACCAATCTCCTGTCAGCTCTGCTCTTTGTCACACTGAATCTGATCAGCATGTGTCTCCTGTCTGTGTTAACACTCAGCTGTGACCCAAACTGCAGAAGATGTTCACCGGGAATCAAACTTTGTTTCTCTGTCCATAGGCTTCTTGTAGCTCAGACTTTTCCTCAGACGTAGATGTTTTCTAACAGCTGTTGATGTTTGGCAGAGGCTCGTGCTGACAAACACTGACCATGTCTGTGTCTGTGGTTCCAGTCCAGCTGCTCCGAGTCCTGTCTGCAGAAGTATCTCAAGATGACCCAGCGCATCTCCATGAGGTTCCAGGAGTATCACATCCAGCAGAACGAAGCTCTGGCCGCTAAAGCTGGACTGCTGGGACAGCCTCGCTGACCAGGCCCGACATGGACTGAAAACATGACCCCAGCAGGCTGGTCCTGGTCCCAGTGATGGTCCTGGTCCAGTAGGTCTGGTCTCACCCCTGCTGGAAGAAAAAAAAAAACTCTGAACTGCACCTTTTGTTTGTATCAATCAGGCTGCTGAAGTCTCTGCTGCAGAGCTGCACAGAAACAAGGATTTGGCCGCTGAGCATCATGGGAGATGTAGTGTAAAACAACAGGACCAGACAGATTTCAAGTTGTGTACAGAAACTGTGGAACTGTCCTTTAATGTGGGTTGAGTTTTACTGTATGTTGAAATGTTATTAAAGAACGTGAATCTCTGACGTCTTCTTCCTTAGTTCGTCTGGACATGTACCAGTAAATACCCGAGTATTTCCATCAGTGTAGTCTCTAAAACAGAACAATACCCATCACTATGTCCTTTAGCACAGGGTGATGACAGGAAATGGTTTGTTTTTGGTCCAAAATCCCAAAATATTTACTTTGATGTGAGAGCATGAACAACAGACAGCTCTCGCAGGTCAGATCGTGGAACCAACTTTTGCCTAAAAACTAATAAGTCACTTCTGAGAAGAGCTGATTTTCTTCTAAACAGCCAATAAATTATAGCTCTCACTCCTGTCACCTGATACTCCACTCCATGTAAGAAGGAAACGACGTACCGTTTACTGCTGCAGTTACAGGTACTATGACTTTACACATTAGATGAACGATTAAAGGTCCTGCAATACTCACACAGGTGTTTCAGCTCAGGCTGAGTGGTGTACACATCTGCTGGGGGTCACCTGAGGTCAGTAAAACATCTGGCATCTGATTTTATTGATCTGCTCTAACAAGACCAGAACCTGTGTGCACAATTTGATGTGGAGTTCTCAGGGGCTCAGGAACAGTGATGGAAGGTAACACAGTACATTAACTTAAGTACTTGTACTTTTCTTGCTTCTTAATTTTCTGTTACTTCATACAGAGAAACACTACTTTTGACCAGCAGCGAAAGAACAACTCGGGTCTTTTACTGAAGTAAACGTAGCAGTATCACAGCATACAGATGGTCTGTTACAAGTAAAAATCAAAATGTTACTTCCAGTTACAAGTAAAAATCAAAATGTTACTTTCATAAAAGTACAAAAGTACCAGCATCTAAATCTACCTAAAGTACCAGGAGTACCAGTACTCGTCCTGCAGAACGGCCCGTGTCCCAGTAACGTCTCTGATACTGGATCATAGTGACTAATTACTGTGTCCATCACTTTAATGCTGCAGCTGGTAAAGGTGGAGCTGATGGTAACTACCTTATATACTTATACTGGGAAGTACTTTCCATCCTGCTGGGTAGCTGGTGGATTTCCTACTGGGATCAATAGAGTCTGATGGTTCTACTGGGTTTGGTTTGATTCATCTGATTCTGGACCTGAAGGTATCAGGTACATGTAGTGTAGTAAAAAGTACACGGTTTGTCTCCGACATGGAGTAGAAGTACATGTACCACACATATGTACTTCAAGTAGAGGTATTTGTTACTTTCCACCACCGTAAACTCAACACGACCGAACTCTGAACTGTGTCAAAACTTTTCCCCATGAACATACTTTTATTTCTAGGAAACTCAGGACCTTCAAAATAAAGCGCCTGTTTAGGGAATCGTGACGAGCAGCCCGTTAACAGGGAGCAGCTGAGTGCAGTGTTAGTGTTGGACCAGGACTCTGAAATGAGACGCAGCTGCAGAGTGGAAACATATTTAAAACTTTATTAGAAACAGAGCTCTGCTTGTTGTGCACAGTCCCAGCATGGCTTCTGTTGTCAGGAAGTGTGTGTTCGTCTATTTACAGTCGTCGCTCTCGACACCACCGCTGGTAAGTCACTACATAGGAACCAAACTGAGGAGCTCATAATACAACAGTACAAAGTCTTTTCTTAAAAAATATTATAAATCATTCTTTACAGGCGTGTAAAATGCAGTTCTCCAGGACAGGGTGTGGGTTTAGTCTTTTCTTTACTCGAGAGCGTTTTATGTACAAAAAGAAATGTCCAGGAGCCGTCCGTCCTGCCACAAATACAGAGGACACCACTGAAGAAGAGTCTGGCAGGGGTGGGGGGTGGTGGTGCAGCAGAAATCCTCCGTCAGTGCTGAACTCAGAGACCCAGGATGTGGAAGATCAGCTCAGCCAGGCTCAGAACAACAACTGATTCCATGGCAGAAAGGATGCAAATCAAGATACTCATGGGAAGATCAGACAGGACATGAAGCCAAACTGTGACACCAGCGTTCAGTGATCCATAAGGTGGACCCGTTTAAAATCACTGTCACAAGTTACACATAAAGATAATTTGATAGCTTTATAAATCAAATTTCAAATTCACAATACGTTTCAATCTAAATTACGAGTCCAATTCAAACGTGCATGTTTAGGTCATTTAATAAAATAATTTAGATGTAGCAAATCAAAGTTATGACATCGACTGTGACAATGAGCAGATATAAAATCATAAGCTCGTTGTTCTGAACACTAAATCGAATCCGACGTTTAAAATCATGACTCCTCAAGTCAGAACTGTGATGAAACGTCATAATTTCAATTAAGCCAAAATTATTAATCCAGTTCAAACATTACATGTCTGAATTCCAGGTAAAAAGTAAAAATCAAAATCCTAACAAAAAATTTGATTTAACTTTTAGTCACAATGATGACAAAGTCAGTTTCCCTGAACACGGTGATGTGAAATCACACCGATTACTATGAGACAAACAGTTACAAGTTCAGTTCAAAATCCAGAGATTAAAGAGTTAATTTAAATCACCGAGGGAAACACGACGGGTTTCTGTTTGAGCTTCACCGTCATAAATGTTCAAAACCAAAAGTTACATTTATGAGACGTTAGGTCAGAAATTTAACAATCAAGTCCAAATCAGGACTTTTGAAATGGAAACGAGATCTAGCGAGTCGCAATACGAGACCGTAAATCATAAGTGAAGATGACCACGTCTCAAAGTTATGCTTCAATACGATTTCTTACATGAATCCTTTTAATTCCAACTCAACTGTGAGATTTCCTGGAGGTATCGTTGGCCTGGTCTCCCAGTCCTGACTTCCCATGAGTACTTTGTACCATTTCTAACATTCATCAGTTTCTTCCACTCTTGCTGGCAGTACTGATTTTACAAACACACATTAGAAACATTTTTTATGTCCACTGACCAAATAAATATTAACAAGCAGCAGAAGCTTCTTTTTAATTATTTTACACAAAATAACCCAAAAACTTAATTTCTACAAACATTTGATTTTCGCTCGCTGTGACGTCACACACTTTTGGAAATATTTTTTTTTTTTGCTTTTACCAAAATAAAATCTCTGATTCCATATAAAAAGACCAGAAACACTCGGGGGGGGGGGGTGCTGCTTCAGGAACCTGCTGCTTTCACAGCTGACCTCTGACCCCAACTACACCCCCCAAAAAACCACCTTTATTTTGAAGTCAACTAAGCAGAAGTACTGAGGACGCACCAGAGGAAGGAAGTGATCTGCGGTGGCTGAACAGATGGCGAGCTAATTTTCAGTCCACAGGTGAGGGGGTGGGGCGTTCCCCCATCGTCTCTGTCTGTGGCTGGAGGGGGCAGGCAGAGCAGGTGGCGTGTGTGCAAGTGGGTGGGGTCTGGGTAGGCGTGTCATCACCTGCACTCCACAGCAACAGTGTTCTGAGTTGGCGAGGCTGAGGACGGGCTCATACCTGTGTCGGAGGAGCCGGACGAGGTCGAGGTCGACGCCGTCGTGTTCGACACTGGAACAGACAGAGACGGTTATTTTTAAAGATGTTTCTTTGTGCCTGGACCCCCATTAGCAGAAGCTCCAGTCACATAAATCCACTATATGATGGATTCGCCAGCAGGTCTGCTGCTGCTCTTACCTTCTCTCTCCTTCTTTTTTAGTCTCTTCCTGCGTCTGTCGATAGAGGCGACCTCTGACTTCAGGGTCATGTAGTACTTCCTTATCTCCTGCAGCTTGTCCTGCAGGAAGGAGATTCTGTCTGTGCTCGACATGCTGTCCAGCTCATCTGAGGAGGAGGAGGAGGTTATTTCTTAGTTCGTAAGACTGACTCATCACCATTATCTCACACATTTCTGCTCTGACGCACAATAATTCAATCATGAGCGAGTCAAATTTAATTAATGGAGTTAAGTAGTCAGATAGTTAGCAACAGCTGGTGTGACCCTGCTGGTCGTCATTTTAACCAGAAACAGTGACGATCAGCAGACGCTGCCATGACAAATAAACCCCTCTGACTAGTCGCTGCAGCGCTACATTAAATGTATGCGTGTGAGAGGGTTACCGAGCTGGAAGGTCCACTTGTATGTGCGCTGAGGGGAGGGGACGTTCTGCTTGTCTTTACTGTGAGAGGTTGGAGACGACAGCCCAGGACACCGGGGCTTGTGAGACTTGGGCAGAGATGTCAGACGAGACTGGTCCTCACTGTCGCTGCTGTGACCTGTGGAGAGACACATGGCGCAGTCTTAACAGAATGAAATGTTTGTATCAATATGCATCTGTCTCCAGGATGTCAGGCTGGGACAGATGCGCTTTGTGTGGACAGACATCAGATAACTCCAAAGTGCTTCACCACTCAAAACAGACAAGTTGAAATCATTTCAAAGACCCACCCATTACTGAGTGTGACCAGTGATGCTCTGACACTTCACCTGCTCCATTCTTTTCCACCTTCCCAGGTGTGTTTGGTCGTTTCTGGTTGCGTTTCTGCTTCTTGGCCAACGGGCTGGAGTTACAGTCCGTCACCCTCTTTTGACCTGAGGGGTCAAAGGTCACAAAGGTTACTCAGTACAACAACTAACCAATCAGGCTGAGGAATATCTGTTCAGGAGACCAGGGGTAAATCCCAATTCCCTTAACTGACTGGTCCTCACTTGACCTGGAAGCCGTTCCAGTCCGCCGTCTTGAAGGACATCCCAAAACTCTTATTCTTGCTGTGAGAAGTGAGCAGGCTGCTGAAAGGAGCCATGAGTCTGGACACACGAGAGCGTCCTCCACGAATTCTTTGTTGGAAATCAGTTTGCGATTGGACCCTTAAGAGGAAGGGCACATGTCACACTGACGATTCGCATGTTGACATTTGGCACGTGTTCTTACACCGGATGCCCTTCCTGACACAACCCTGACTCGAACCCGGGCCGCAGCAGCGAGAGCACTGCGCCCTAACCACTAGTCTATCAGGGAACTACTTGAGGGAGACATAGATGTATTTAAGGGAAATGGGACTCACCCCAGGAGTCCTCTCAGACTTACATCTGAGGCCTTTGATCATTACGTTAATTTGAAGATATTTTAGAAAAGCTGAGCTTTCTCCTTTACACATTTTAATCAGGTTCAAGATGGCGTGTGTAGACAAGGCTCACGCAGTTTGTTTTCTGAATCAGTGTCAGAGAATTTCAGGTGTTACCACAGACCAAGGCTTCTTAAAGTCCAGACTCCGGTCCGACGGCAAGTCAATCCGGACTCGCCCCACACATCACATCATGAATGTAATAATACAATCAAATGAAGTGTATGTGTCCTCCTTTGAAAAAATGTTTTATACTTAGCAATGAATTGTTTTGTAAAATATAGTCCATTTGGCGATTGACACAGCGATCCTGGCCTGAGATGAAGGCTAAACGCAGCCGTTTCCCCATCTGACATCGCTGTTATGGCAACATTGACAGGTGGTGAGTGTATGACATTTAGTGTCAACAAGTGACAGAGCTCAAGGGTCGGCTAGCAGCTTACCGAGTTAGCTGATGGCTAACAGGCGACCCTTATGTGTTTATTACTGAGGTCATAGTTAAAGGTGGTGTTGTACTGGACTCCATTATACTCAGAGGTGTCTGTCTTTGTCCTCCTCAGCTACATAGTACATGAGGGTCAGAATATTAAGAACACTTCTGAATATAATGTAGCCCAGTACACCACCACCTTTAACTACGACCTCAGTAATAAACAACTGAATTTACACATTTATGACAATTTCACCAAAAACTGAAACAATTTGAGCTTCATAAACACAGATGTTAAGCTGGTAGTGTTGCACTCAATTGCAACAGGTGTACCTAATAAACTAGACAGTGAGTCCAATTGTTCTGGGCCTTTGACTTTGAATAGAAATCAGAATATTTGAGCCTAAAGTCTGAAAGCCCCTGCCACAGACTGTGCATAACAATGGACAACGTGAAACCGCAAGCTGATGGCGCCCCGGTGGCTGGTTGCATATAGGTCATAAACCCAGTCTCCTCCGTGTTACTAGATAGGACATTAGCCAAAGAAAAAGCTCAAAGTACAAAACTGGATAAACTTTTCCCAGAGGTCTCTTCTGTCATGTTAGGTAGAGATCATCACGCTGATGTGTGTAAGTGCTCATTGCTCTGGTAAGTGTGTCTGTAATAAGCGGATTATATCAATAGCGATTTATCTCAGATTATTGGCAGCCTGATTCTGCAGCTCCACAGAATGCAAAGTGCATCACAAAAACAAGAAGGCCAGGTAGTGGTGAGCCGTCGTCCACCTTTATATACAGTCTTCTACCTGTTCACGCCTCGTAGAGGTGTGCACTCTTACCTCTGTCCTTGCTCTCCTGCAGTGACAGCAGGGAGGTGGAGGAGGAAGCGCTGCCATCAAACCCAGGACTGGAGTCTCCCTCTTGCTCCTCCCTGGCTGCTTCCCCGTCGTCACTGACAGTGCTCCTGGCTGAATGGAGCTCCTCAGGGCAAGGGGTGGAGCTTGGGGAGGTTGTCGGAAGGAAAAGCCTGACCTGAGGCTGGGAGAGGTGAGGGGTGTGCTGGGAGGAGAGGGGTGTGTGGAGGAGGTGAGGCAGTGGGGGTGGGGCTTGTTGTTGCTCTCTCATCACCATGAGGAGGTGCTCTGAGGAGGAGGGGGGCTTCTCCTTCTCATCTGGGTCATCCAGGTCCACCTCATGGCAGACCAGCGCCTCAGGGCCAATCTGCAGCTCCAACTCCTCAGAGGGGGAGGGGCCTGGGGCCTCCGGAGCAAGGGGGGGTGTCCTAGCACGCACCTCTGGTTCCTTCATGGCTCCACCTGTCAGGTGCTCCTCTGACATCTCCACCTGCAACTCCTCTGCCGGACAGGGCCACTCCTGGTGTGGAGAGGAGAGGGTTTTGGGTGAAGCTCCTGCTGCTATCTTGGGTGTGGCAGCCGGGGTTTGGGGAGAAGCGGCCTCCTCCTGCCTCCTGTCGGGGCGGAGCTTCTTGTCAGCTGATCTTTGTTCTGCTGCCTTACGTTTGAGCACCATGCCGCTCCTCTCTTCAGATAACTCCACCTCCTCTTCCTCGGTGGCGGAGTCAGTGTCAGAGTCCACTGCAGGAGAGTCGAGAGGGAGGTGCTGGGTGGGGAGGCAGCAGAGGACCACCATGGGTTCGTCCTGTCTCTTCAAGATGCTGTGAGGAGCAGATGACAGTGCCGCTGTGTGAGAGGGGCTGGCAGTGTGCAAGGGGATTCTGGGAGGAGTTTCAGAGCCAGCCTCCCTGAGGTTGGCCCTGCGACCTTTGGCCCTTGGGGGGTACAGAGGAGTGGAGCGATCTTCCTCCTCAGCAGCAGGTACATGGGAGGACATGTGCTGCTGCTTCTCAGGAGACATTTTGTGTTTGTCTGCGGTGGCAGGAGACATCTTGTTGAAGTTGTCAGGGGGGGGAGACATCCTACTGGGAGGTGTCTTTCTGAGCTCTTCTCGTCCAGGAGATGTCTTGTTTTTCTCTTGGACAGGAGTTGTCTTTTGCTCCGGAGACGTTCTGTCCTCCGTGTCCACCTGAACCGCCAGCGTAACGACTTCAACTACAGGCTCCTCCCCCTGCTCTGCCTCCTTCTCTGAGTGGCTCTCAACTTCATCAGTGTTGTCAAGAGGTATGCTAGGACATGGCGGTACACTGGCGACAGGCAGCTGACCTGCTGTTGACATAGCAACAACAGTGTTGTTAGTAGGTGTTGTGATATTAGTGCCCTCACTCGCCACCTCCTCTTTCACCTCCTCTGGCTCCTCCTCCTGGCAGGGTGAGGCTTCAGTCCTCCCTTGCCATGGAGAAGGCTTTTGATCAGGCGGGTCTTCTGATTCGCTTTCTTCTGAAGAGTTCCCAGAATCCTCTGCAGGGAGAGAGAGAAGTGAACTGCTAAGTTCCTGACGATGGAAGTGGATCACTAACAGAAACATGAGCAGCAGTGCTGCCGTCGCTCTCACCATTGGACGCTATGTCAGAGTCGTACATGCCTGAGGTTCTCCTGGTTCTCCTGCGAGGAGTGTCTGCAGAGAGGACAACATGCTGCTTCAGCGGCAAAGATTAAAGCCAGTAAATATTTGAAAAATCAAATGGATCACTAATCACACTGATCAGCTTTCCCACATATTTTTTGATATTCCCTGGACTGAGGTGGCAAACACTCAGCGTCACAGTTTATGAACTAGCATTAACTGGATCCAACTGCAAAGCAACCCACTGACTTATTTGAGGTGTGCTGCCACAATATCAACATTAACATACTGATTTAAACTAGGTTAAATCTTATTTTAGTGCAGTGCCGTGCATAGCCCCTCCGTGCACCACTCTGTTTCTCTCTCACACACACAAACACATGATGACCATGACACCAGACTGTCTGTGTATGCTCTTCCTCTCCGTGTCGGTTTTTTCAACACAACGCTGTCAGTCGTGGAGGTCCAACTCTTCCAGAAGTTAATAGCAAGCTAGTAAGGCTAGCTAGGCTAACGTAGCTGTTGCCAAGGTCAGCACCATGGATGTATAGGGAGCGCTCTGCAAGTGGATAAAGTTAATGCTGACTCAAAATCTGACGCTGAATGTTTGACCCCTCAGTCCATTGAATATCAAAAAACACAATGTGGGAAAGCTGATCAGTCCGATCAGCGCGATTAACGATCCACTTGATTTGTTTTGAATATTTTTGGGTCCCAACCAGCGCTGCTGAAGCAGCAAGGGGGGCCAGGAAGAGAGAGATGTAGGAGAGAAACACTTTGCTGTTGTGGGAGAGCCAGTGCAGAAGGGACACGTCAGACAAACAGCACAGAGGTAGCCTATTATTTTATAAAAAAAAAAAAAGGTGTGACACACTCTGTTGCTTCGCCTCTGAGATCTAAAAGTCACACAGGTGCCTTCACTTTCAGTCAAACTGAAAAATAAGGTCCGCAGTTTAAACACCAAACTGAAATATTAAAACTGGAGTCACCCGTCAGACTGGTGACTGATCTATTTCTTTAGCTGTAATGTGTCTTACTGTCTCCATTGGCCATGTTGGACGCCGCCGCCATCCTGCTGCTCTTGCCATTGGGTTGTCCCTCGTTACTCGGCGTTTTGGACACGCTGCGTCCTGCTGAGCTGGACGGAGTGGTTCTGATCTGAGGACGTCCACGCCTCGCCCCTGTCGGCTTTGCCACCACCATCACTGCCGGCTTCTCTTCATCTTTCTCCACCTCATCCCTGTCTTTGTTCTGCTGACGAACAAACCACAGTGAGCACACGTTTTCACGCAGTAGCTTCTATTGCTAACTACATCTCCACACAACACCAAGAGCAGCCATGTTGGTAACAGTGATGGATTTTCTCTCCGCAAGCTGATTTTCCAGAATAAAACAAATGTCTGACAGCCTCAGACTCCTAGGCTGCTCCTGCTGATTGGTTTTTACACCTTTCAGGTCACCTGCTGATCAAACCCTGTGCTAACCCCGCCTACCCACTCTCTTACCGCTCCTGATCGGACAGTAAAGCTCATCAGGCTCAGGTCAGACAGCCAAGAGGAAGCAACATCACAGGACTTCAGTCCAGCATGCGAAACCTTACTCAGCATCATCACCCCTGGCCTTCATCAGGTCACATGGCCAGGCTGAACTCACAGGAAACGGTTCATCATCATCAACTTTATTTATATAGCACATTTAACACAGCCAGAGCTGACCAAAGTGCTTAACACAATATCCACAAAACCCATTAAAACAAAATAAACAAGCAACAATAAAACAACATCACACTTAAAACAACCACCCATCATAAAACAAAGGCTCAACAAGACAGAGTCTCATACTGGTTCGAACGCCAAACGGTACAGATGAGTCTTCAAATAAGTTTTAAAGGGGGACAACGAGGGGGCCTGCCTAATGTACAGGGGCAATGCATTCCACAACTTAGGAGCCCCCACAGAGAAGGCTCTGCCCCCCCTAAGTCTCCGCCTAGCCCTCGGTGTCTCCAAGAGCAGCTGATCAGCTGATCTGAGGCACCGAGAGGGGCTATAGGAATGCAGCAATTCTGTAAGATAAAGGGGGGCCAAACCATTTAGACTTATAAACAAATAGAAAAATCTTGCATGATGCCTCACCTTCCCTTTCCTCCTCTGTCGCTTCTTCATTCCTTTCTCCACGGGCCAGATGATCCTGTCGGCCTTCACCCACTCATCGTACCTGTGGAGCAGACATACCTGTCAGGACATATTCTACCTCCAACAACTCCTGGCTGTATGTTTAGCAAACATCTCAGAGAAAGAAACGTCTCCTAACTGGACATATATTCTCAGAGGGACAGGTCTTTGGCCCTACTATGAGGACAAGGAGTCAAACCAATTCAGTGACTTTCTTAGGTTAGGACTGACTGCATGCATTGTTGCATTGTGTGTCGTGTGAAGAATGGTAGCGCAACAGAAGTATGAGCAGAAGTCTGAGCGTTGCTGCTAGCGGTGCTGTAACAATGAAACATCAGGAGAAAGGACAGATGGGGAGGAAAAGAGGTGCACATGCATTGTGTTTGTTCCTTCAACACCAGGGGGCCGTGGCTCAGGAGGTTCAATTCCTGTTCTCCCCAGTCCACATGGTGAAGTGTCCTTGGGCAAGACACTGAACCTCAAGTTGCCCCTGATGGCCAGAGCAGTGCCTTGCAGGGACAGCGCCGCCATCAGTGTGTGTAAATGTCCCCATTGCGGGATAAATAAAGTGATGATTTTTATTATCATTATGAAATGGACGAATGTGCATGGTAAGTTAGCCATCAACTTTCATACTGTGGAATGGGTATACCGCTGCAACCCTCTCTGGGACACGTGAATGTGAAGCGTCCGAGTGCTGGTGCCACTGACCTGACGTTCCAGCCGTAGTAGTGGACCAGGTAGAACTGCTCTCCATTGTCTATGTCTGTCTTCTTGATGTGAGCCTCATAGATCTTCTGGGTCTTTCCTTTGCCATACTTCACCCTGACCTTTGTCCCTGTCACAGAATCTCCATCCTCCTCGTCCTCACTCCTGACACACACACACACAGTAACAGTGGGCGCTGAGTGTCAAAATATCAGTCTTTAATGGTAACTTTGATGCGTCTTTCAGGCTCCGTCCCCCAATAACCTGTATCTAGTCTGTGGTAAATATGTGTAGCTACTTAAGTACTGTAGAGCAGGTACAGGTTTGAGGTACTGGTCCCTCTTTTTCTACTTTATTCTACAACTGCACATATTTGTCTGACAGCTGGTTATGTCAAAATAGGCCAGAGGACATTTTAAAAGCTTAATTCAATTGTTATACTCTAAAATGTATACTCTTAAAAAAGCTGAGGTCTGGATCAGTGGTTTCAGCTTTTTTATACAGTTATATAAATTTAAAAAATCTGTCTGAAGACTGATTAATCTGATCTATACACTCAGGGAGACCGCTCTACATACGAGGTACTTTTAGGTGATACTTGCGTAGTTTTACTCTTACATTCTGAATGCAGGATTTGAACTGCTAACAGTACTATAATTTGTGGCATTTGTATTTTTAAGTCCTTATTTTCCTCCACTACTTGTTTCTGCTCATTCACTGAAATATCAGATCATGTTGTACATATCTGAAGGGCTTCCTGTCGTCCTACACAGCCGTTTGTCTCTAATCGGTTATATATAACCAATAAAATATGAAAAGTAATGCAGTAGGTCAGACTTTCTGTACATCATCCATCACATTTGCATTTGTTTTAACTAATGCTGTTAGTGTGTTCATCTCGGTCTCACCGGTCCCCTCTCCTCCTCTCCCCCTCCTCCTCCTCATCTTCATCATCATCGTCCTCCTCCTCTTCCTCCGAGCCTTTCTCTGAGTCATCCATTCTTCTGTTGCTGCGTCTCCTCACTTCCCGCTGCTCTTCACTGTTCTCTCCTCCTCCTCCTCTTCTCTCGGGCTTCACCTGACCCCCCACACACCTCCTCCTCCCCTGAAAACACACAGGACAAATGTTCAGTCTCAGGTTGAAGACTAACGTCCCACTAAATCGGGCATTAAGGCCCGTGATGTGAGCGCAGCTTTACACGCCGTCTGCACAGGTTTGCTGATCTGTAAACCGTCTACAGACAAACTGTCTTGGCCAGAGAGACGCAGACGGTGGGTGTGTGACCAGGTGCGACTGTGAGATGCCTCATCAAAGGTCACCTGTTCTGACACTGAATGGATTACAGCAGTTTCAGTGCAAATCTGGTTCTTCAGTGGCTTCGGGAGTTTTCAGTGTCTCACCCTTGGGGACAACTGTGGCTCCTTCACCTCCTCCTTCTCGCTCTCTGACTCTGCCTCCTCCCCCTTGTCATCAACAGGCTCCACCTTCAGCTGTGATGTGGAGGACTCGTTAAGCTCCACCCCTGCTGTCTTCTGACTGGCTGATGTGGTAGGAGGGCGGGGGTTGTTGTGATGGATGGTCCTGAAGGTGATGGAGGCAGAGCGGCAGTACTCCTCAAACCCGTACAGGTACCTGAGGACACAGATGGCCCTGTCAGCAAACTAGGGGCTGACTCTGATTCTGAAACAAATCCAGTCATAAGTGGAGTAAAAATAGATTCATTTTAAAAAGCAGATGTTGACTTACTTCTTGTAGGCCGTTTTAACGTTGTACGATGCAGCAGAGTTCAGGACAGGGATCCCCAAATCCATGTAGACCTGCTTCCACACGGTCCCGGACTCGATCTGAAACACACAGAAGAAGTCAAAGCTGAAGTCACATCTGTCTCTCATCAGGTGACTGAACAGTGACGCTCATCAGGCTCCGGTCAGACAGCCAAGAGGAGGTGATGTCACAGGACTTCATCATCACAGCTGGCCTACAGCAGGTCGCATGACCCACTGGGCTGAAATACACTGCTGTGGTCCTTTTTGTTCTGTGGTCACGTCAACATTCATGTCGGTGATGCTAGCATGCACTAAAGACAGACAGATGTACTTGCCTTGTGGCAGCCTCCCAGGTGATAGACCAGTCTGAAGAGCTTGAACAGGTTCAGGTCTTTATAACCCAACACTGGAGGCTTGTTGATAGGGGTCCCTGATGGACAGAGACAAACAAACAGTCTTAGTGTAGGTCCACATCCAGCTAGTTCAATGTGCAGTTTCAGGCACCAGACTGGAAACATGTTCACCAACTCCACAACGGATCTTTATTAAACCAGTGTCCAGAGGGTGTCTGTGTTCAAGTGCAGTGTTTCACTGTGCACATAGAGAAATGAGACCAATGATGCCATGTATTATAATGTGGCTGATTTTGTCAATGATTTCCTCAGCAGCAGCAGTTTGGGAACAACTGCTCTACCATGCTTCCGAGATGAAACAAGAGTTTGATCCTGGTTCAGTGTCTGAAGACAGGAAGAGAAGAATGTGTACACGAGAACAACTGTCAACAGCAGAACGCCACTGAACGCAGGTCTGACAGCAAAGTTGACAACTTTCTGGTCTGTGATCGATCTTTTACATGATATATGTGATCTCACACACAACAGCTGTCATCAAGCCAATATATGATGACGGCTGGGTCTCACTCCTACAGATGCGGTTTGGTTGTTTGTTAATGAAAAGAGGGCGAAGAAGAAACAATTAGACTGTTAAGCTGCTTCACCATCTGGGGACTGTCAGTGTGGCCACAGATGGATTTCACACAAAAACAGCTAAAATGTAGACGGTGCGAGAACGGACCATCGCTATGCTGAGGCTCCACATCCTGTTCTGGTGGGGAGAGTTCTTTCATTTACACGCAAACTAGTCCTTTCAAGCTGTAAACATTATTTACAACAACTACTAATTGTAAATGTAACCCAGGTCCTGGTGTGTCTCACCTCTGTCCTCCATGAACTTGTAGAGCTGCTGCAGGAAGTAGTCCTTCTCCTCTGGGTCTGGCTCTTCATCGGGCTGCACACAAGCACATGTACGTTAGGATCTGACCTCCCAGCTGGACCTCCTTTCCCACTTGGCCCCTCAAACTCTCACCTCATCCTTTATAAGCTTCTTCTTTTTCTTCTCGTCTTCATCCTCATCCTCCTGATCACTCTCCTTCTCCTCATCATCATCTTCATCGTCGCTGGAGGATGAGTCCAGGATCTGACTCATGTCCATCTTCCATACATCTGGGACCTCTCGGCTCTTCAGGAACATCTTGGCTGCTTCAAAACCTGTAGGAAGAGGAAGAGCAGGGTGAGGAAGTAGAAGAGAGGAACACGGAGGACAAGAGAAGTTACAAGGGAACAGAGAAAGAGCACAAAGAGGAGGAGGAGTGAGAAGAAAAAGAAAGACGAGCAAGGGGGAAATGAGGTGAAGAGAGGAGGAGGAACAGAATGAAAAGGAGAAAGAGGAGGCAGAGGAGGACAGAGAAGCAAAGAAAGAAGAAGAGAACAGAAGCAGTAGGTGATTGCAAGTTATAACAGACACTTAAAAAAAAGCAGAGGAGTCAGCAATGAGCTCTGGCTGCAGGTCACTGCTGTCCTGGTGCATTGTGGAAGTTGTAGTGCCTCACCTCTCCGGCTGGAGAACTCAGACTTGGTGATGCTGATGGGGCTGATAGGGTGGACATGTCTCCTCGCCACCGTGTAGCTGCAGGATAAAACGAGAGGAAGAAGGTGAGATGGAGCCGATCTGATTCTGATCAAAGTTCCTGATCACAGATCTTTTTTTTTTTATATTAGGATTAACTCACAACTTGGAGTCGCTGAATGATCTGACCAGACACTGATCCTTCTTCACCATCAGCTCATCATTACAGGTCGGAGATACCACCTGCAGGACAAACACATACCTGCAGTCAGAGTGAGGTCATGTGACAGACAGGCGGCGTGTGTGGTCACTAGGGGTGTAACAATCCATCTATCAATTGATCAAACACCCCACGATCTGATAGCATCGATGCAAAATGTAAACCGATGTTTTGTGCGCTTTTATTTTGACAGCCAGCCACATATGTACATTCTGGTGAAGCTCTGTTCTTTTCAAACCGGACAACACATGCCAGGCGGTGCAGCTGGCATTCTGGGACTGGGAACTCACTCTAAAAGTGAAATGTGTTTGCTCCGTTCAGTCCACACCGACTCCGACCTCCGGTCAGGGTTAGGGTTGACCCGCATGGGGAAATTTCTCAGTGATGGAGGCAATGTCCAGGTCGCCATCACTGAACTCCAAGTTCAGTGTCTTACCCAAAAACACTTGGACTGGGGAGACCAGGAATCAAACTGCCAATATTCTGATTAGGAGATGACCGCTCTACCTCCTGAGCCGCTGCCAGCCCTGATAGGTTTGTATGGTGATGATATTGGTGACTTACACCCCTAGTGGTCAGGTGACAAAGAGACAGAGGTGTGCTTGTTTACCAGAGCCAGGTACCAGCTGTCGTGTTCATTCTCGCTCTCAATGCTGCAGACTTTCCCCAGCAACTCATCGTTGAGCCGCCCCCTGTCATCCTCTTCATCCTCACTGGACGAGGTATCATTGTCTTCATCAGCACTGAGACACAGACAGGTGGGCAGTCACAGACAGAGACAGGAGTAGAGCATCAATATTCCCAGTTACAGTAAGTTTGCAATTTAACTCTCACCACTTGGAAAACTGAGTGGATCTGTTTATTATGACATAAACAAGCATGTGTAAACTCAGCAAGACTGTTGCTAACAAATATAACCATTAAAAAAAAAAAAAAAAAAAACTCACACGGCCTGGGATGAACGCCGGCCGCCACGGTTTGACTTCTTGCCGATGACTGGAGTGCCAAAATGCTCTGGGTTTGTCAACGGCAGCTGGTCCAGCGTCTGAGGGGAGGGGGTAGAGAAGTGACGACAACACATCTTAGGCATTTTATTAAGATATTTTAACATCTCTAAGGACTCAGACTGAGACAGCTTCAGATGTTTTTACAGCTGAGACTCTGTGGCAGAAGAATATAGGCCTCAGAAGACTCACCTCACTCTCTGCAAAATGCCGCTCTCCCTTCAGACACAGGGATGTACGACGAAGAGTCTTCTCATCTCCATCATCAAACACTGAAACACACAGCTCAGTTGTCACTATCACAGTGGAGGGTGACCTGACAGGGGATTGGTCAGACAGCCAAGAGATGTAACATCACATGACATCAGCTCATTAAGCGAAACCTTTTTGCAGCATCATCACTTGTGCCTGGCAGCCAGTCATTTGTAGACTTCACCTCAGTGAAGTGAGGAAACACTGGATTTATTTTAAAGGATGCAGCCAGTAACTTCCTCTGTCGTTCCCCACCAACCCCGTGCAGAGACCAGTAGCACCAGTGAATGTGGTGTCCTCACTGTAATGTGTGAATCCAGACCCTGGTCCAGCTCATCGCTCTGGGCTGTAGACCTCCACTTTTGTCCCCCATCAGCCTTTTCAGGGCTCACTGACTCCGAGTTCCATGGTTCTTAGCTTGTAAGGACTGGGAGCATTTTATGAGTACTTAAAGAGACCAATAAGTGAGATGTAGTGGATCGGACAATATGGTTTTGGTGTTGATGGAGTGGCTTGTCCTCTGTCCATGTTGGACCGAGAGATGTGTTGAGGGTGAAATATATTAATCAAAGTGACACCACCTCTGCTCTACCGTACAATCCACAAGTAAAAACCCTGTCAGAGCTGTTTATCCACACATCCGCTAAAGGAGCATTAACTTGCAAAGCAGCAACTGTTTAAGCTTCGCCCACAGACTCCTATCCACAGCCGGTACATGTTAACTATCGAGCTCCTGAGGCTAACAGCTAATAACTCACTGTTAGATGCCTCGCCATAATGGCCAGCAGCGGTTCATGCACCTGGAACTATTACTGAAAACAAATCCATGTTCACGCAGCATCTGAGGGTTTATACAGTATCGCTGGTTAACCATGTCGAATTTGTTAGGCTGAGTGGAGTCAGGAGCGCAGCTCAAACAAGCACAAGAGGAAGTGAGAAGGCACCCGGCCTGTTTATTTGTCAGGATCTATAGCTCACCAGCTGCATCCTTTAAAAGAAAAAGTTTCATGCTGGACTGATAACATTTCTGAACAGATTCGTTTAACAAGTTTTTATGTAAATGTAATGTATTGACAACACTGGATCCTTTGCAACTTCTACAGCTGCATCACTGTCTGGTACGGCAGCACTACTGCTATGGACCACAAGCACCTGCAGAGA